CTTTTTCTACTCGAATTAAGACTTTTGCTTTTTCAAGAGGCTTCCGTACCCGCTTCCGAACACTGCCTTGTATCAAACGTCAGTTACTTGTAACTCTGCTTGATTTTGAATCGACTCACATGTCCACGGAAGGTTACGTTGATGAACTAACAAGATTAATTTGTAAATTTTTATGCAATCAGTTCTTAAGTCAGTCAGTTTAAGGTTTGCTGTTGGTTCATATTCGAGCGTTTTTTGTACAAGGCAGGTCCAATTTGTACTGACTAAGCATAAAGAGGTCAATCGATGGCGTTGCATGCACTGCTACAAAGATCAATCGAAACACACTTTTTTGTTTTTTTGTAAGTTTTGTTTAATTTTGTGTTTGCTTGTGTGCGTGCGTGTATGGGTAGTCAGAAGTAGTCACATTCCTTTTTAAGCCCAAAGAGGATCAGATATCGAATTTGATATAATTTTTTTATTCCGGTTAATAGGACTCCAGTACCAAACAAGAGCTGATGGACACCTCTACCAAATGGGACTCTACTGGTAAACAAAATGCTCGCTTGTTCCTCTTTGCAGGTTTTTTTTAGAAGTTCCTTCCCTAACCTATAAAACTTAAGACTGCTTAAGAAATGATAAGTGTCGCCACCAAAGCTGTGATCTATCATTTTCTTTTTCTTCCCCAATAACAGATCAAGTCCGAATTCTGCTTGTTGGTGCTTTGTATGGACCCCTGGGCTCTTCAAGTCCGTCAGCGCGTCATCTACTGCAAACGCTTCTCAAGAAGCTTGATGGCAGTACCCCTGGAATGAGGGAGAGTCCATCAACCACTGCAATGGTAGGAAATAGAGGGTTCATTATTCAAACAAAGTTTAACTGTGGTTAGCTGAAGATTTATTTTTGTGGAAGGAAATTTATTTCATTAAATCAACTCCGTTGTATAGAATACCTAAAGCCCACGGCTTCCGTAAAATCGTGGTTTAGGCTAGACCTCGTTTCCATGGCCGGCCCTGAACGACTTGTTGTGATGAGTTGATTCATTAGTATGGCAAGTGAACTAAGATAATTCAGATAAGGAAGGTCAGTTACCTCTTTGATGCACCAACTGGTTCAAATATAGATCAGAGTGTAACAAGCTGGGAGAATGTATCCTAAATTTGGCAAATTTGTGGGGGGGTCCTTCCTAAGTTATTGTCAGGCTTGTCGTAAGCTCAATTATCATAGGTGGAGGTTCAACCTCCTTACAGATGGTAATGAATTTCTATTGACATGAATTTTTACCGATAAGAAATCCTCAAGGTACTTAGGGGTACTTGTTGGTTTTGAGTACTGTAGGCGGCGTAACATGGCTTGTTTGGGTCTGAACTGGAGAGAAGTACTTAAACAAGAAAATCCTCCAAGGGTTGGTGCATTCGGCACAAAACATAAACAACTGCATACAAACTGTTATCGCTTCTTACGTATGATATGGATTTACAATTCACAAAAATCACTTTTCTGATATACCAGGTCGGATTAGAAACTGTAGTGAACCAAGGTCAGTATGTTCTTTTGTTTTACACATTTTAAGATTTCTTGAAGCTTGATTTCGGCCTTTGCGAAATGCGCACCCAGCAGCGTCGAAAAGCTAGTACGAACGACCGGCCGAATGTTATAACATGAACGGCTAGTTTTGTGATTAAAGTCAATCCCAATTTATTTATCGGTTGTTTCATATTTAAATAATCGAGTTGCATATGAAAACAAGACATGAAGCAATCAGTGTCGCACTACATCGAGTATGACACCTGTTGGTTTTTGCCTGTGAAGCAAAGTGTGGCTCGTCGAGTCCAGCCGCGCGCCTCGTATTGGAATCAAGGCTGATAGTTTCGAAAGAATCTGTTTGGGGCTGCGTCGGTGGGAGTAACGAAATAATTTGGATATCAATAATTAAGAACGTGGATACCAACCTATATATCATCAGGAATTCAGTAAAACCACTGAAATGTATTGGTGGGTTTCGTTAAAAGAACGATATTAGAGTGTATCAAAACAAAAAGTTTGAAAACATACAGAACTGATAAGATGACAGAACGGACTTCATGGGACGCGCGACTACCGCATGCGCTTTGAACTTTATAAATACGAAGACCAATTGTCAGCATTTGTCAGGCTATCATGTTGGCGTGTGCAAGTTTGTCAGTTTTGGACAAGAAGGGTATTTTTTGGATATTATTTTCGTTAAGAGTTTTAGTGTTGAGCACGTTTCCGTTTGGTGGTGTTTTTCTCCCCTGTTTCCCAGAAGGTTTTCTGTAACTTTTTTCTAACAATAACCTAAACCAAACAAAAAACTTACAAAGTGCAAACCCTTTAATTCATAATCTAGAAAAGAAATCTGCACCCCAGGTAAATGCATCGAAAGCATCTCAGGGATTGGCTGATGTTGACATGAAGCACTACAACACAACTGGGGACTCTTTGGCAAACTCTCAAGTACCATCAATCCAAGACGATGATGACACAACCAACAAAGGCTCTTCATGTCAGGAGGAAGTTATGAAGGACGAGAGTGAAGAACTTCCTTCTAATGAGATCAACGCAGTTGTGCCTCAGGGATCCGCTGATGTTGATATGCAAAACTATGACACAACTGGGGACTCTTTGGCAAACTCCCAAGTACCATCAATCGAAGACGATGATGAGACAACCAACAAAGGCTCTTCATGTCAGCAGGAAGTTATGAAGGACGAGAGCGCGGAACTTCNCAATCGAAGACGATGATGAGACAACCAACAAAGGCTCTGCATGTCAGCAGGAAGTTATGAAGGACGAGAGCGCGGAACTTCCTTCCAATGAGATCAATCCAGGTGTGCCTGATCAGGATTCAAACCCATTTTATTTACGGAATGTATCCATGGCGGTAAAGAGACGGGTGCACAGTTTCGTTCTCGATCTGGTGAATACAACCTCAACGCAGTTAGATACCTCCAGCCACCTGAATCAACCCGAGCTAACTACGAGTGAGTCTGTGGAGGCTTGTCCAGGTCCAGTGAACGAAGATTCTTCCGGTTACTCGAAGGTTTTAATGCTATCATTAAAGGGAAAGGATTCATCGGAGTCAACGGCGGTGTCTTCAGGTAACTCAAAAGTATCTTTAGGAATTCATGTGGAGCCTTGCAGTGTCAACTCTATCCTTTGCAATTGCGGGATAGTCTGATTATTACGAAAAGAAATCTCAATAGAAGGAAATTCAGTATTATCATTTGTTTTTAACCTTTCCTTGGTGTACGCTGCCAGAGTGAGTCTTTCTTTGCATATGATACCAAGACATGAAGGAATCAGTGTCGCACTTTACATCAAGTATGACACCTGTTGAATTTTGCCTGTGAAGCAAATTGTGGCTCGTCGAGTCCAGCAGCGCGCCTCGTATTGGAATCAATAATTAAGAACGTGGACACCAACCTATATATCATCAGAGAATTCAGTAAAACCACTGAAATATATTAGTGGGTTTCGTTAAATAAACGATATTAGAGTGTATCAAAACAAAAAGTTTGAAAACATACAGAACAGATAAGATGACAGAACTGACTTCATGAGACGCGCGACTACCGCATGCGCTTTGAACTTTATAAATATAAAGACAAATTGTCAGCATTTGTCAGACTATCATGTTGGCGTGTGCAGGTTTGTCAGTTTTGGACGAGATGGATATTTTTTGGATATTATTTTCGTAAGAGTTTTAGTGTTAAGCACGTTTCCGTTTAGTGGTGATTTTTTTCCCTGTTTCCCAGGAGGTTTTCTGTGATTTTTTTCTAACAATAACCTAAACCTAACAAAAGACTTACAAAGTGCAAACCCTTTAATTCACAATATAGAAAAGAAATCTGCACCCCAAGTAAATGCATCGAAAGCATCTCAGGGATTGGCTGATGTTGACATGGAGAACTACAACACAACTGGAGACTCTTTGGCAAACTCTCAAGTACCATCTATTAAAGACGATGATGAGATAAACAACCAAGGCTCTTCATGTCAGCAGGAAGTTATGAAGGACGAGAGTGAAGCAGTTCCTTCTAATGAGATCAACGCAGTTGTGCCTCAGGGATCCGCTGATGTTGATATGCAGAACTACGAAACAACTGGGGACTCTTTGGCAAACTCCCAAGTACCATCAATCGAAGACGATGATGAGACAACCAACAAAGGCTCTTCATGTCAGCAGGAAGTTATGAAGGACGAGAGCGCAGCACTTCCTTCCAATGAGAACA